GACCTGTATTAAAACGTTAAAAACTCTTCTCCTGTGTCTTGTCTTTGAAGGCGGGAAGGAAATGTGTGGGTTGCTAGACTCGGGTGGGGATGGGGTGGGGGTCCTGGTGGCAGCCTCCTTGCGCCCTGCTTTTGGGCTGTGTGGTCCCAGTGGACCGAGAAAGCTGATTTATTTGGGCCTGAGTTTGAACAATAGATGGCAGAAGAGCCAGATATTTGTGGGAGTGAGCCAGCGTGCACTGAGATTGAAAGTCACTTAGGTAGAAGGAGCTCCCTGATAATGAAACTGGTTAAAAGGAGTTTATTAGCCTTGGAAATGGCTGCAAGCCTTTGTCCCTGGGATGTAGCTCCACTTTCATGTCCATGTCCACAGCCCATCACCATCCCACCCCACACACACCCCTGTGACAGGAGGGGAGTGTCATGCCGAGAACTGTCTGCCACGCGCGCGCCCCCTCACCCTTGGGCTGCTTACCAGGATCTCAGGAGCGGTGCACTGCAGGAGGCGAGTGCAGGGCAACTTGGAGGCTCAGGTCCTAAAGCTGAGAGGACATGAGTGCCTTGTAGCTCAGCAAAGGAGCCAGCTTCCTTCCAGAGGTCTGCCCCAGACTCCAGGCAGTGAGGCAGAGATTAGTTCACGGCGGTGGGTGTGGAGGGGCTAAAACCCAGCATGAGTGGCAGCTTAGATCCAGCCAGGCCTGAGTCAGGATTAAATCCTGGTTCTGCTGCTTGACGCCTCTGAGCCCCCTGAAGAGCACTCACAGCTTGGAGCGAAGCTCCTCCCCCAGCAGGTGACGGGCCAGCACAGGCTGGGGGCTCCTAGACCCTTGGCAGGGAGGTGTCCCATCACCTCACTTAACAAATAGTTATGGCAAATGCCTGTACTAGGACTTCAGTGGTTTATTGTGAGGGTTAAATTGGGTACTGGTGAAGATTTGGAAGATGGAGGTGGTGGTCATGTCAGCATTGACCACAAGGTGGAGACATACTCGAACAGATAAACCCTTGACCAGGCCAGTTGGAAAATGGTTTACCAAGTAGCTAAGAGCCCGAGGGTTTGAATTGGGTCCTGCAGGACTTGGGTTTTATTTCTTCCGGGTGCTCATGACCAGTAGCCCCAGGCCCCTTTCAGTGGCTTCAGTCCTCCCCATTCTCTTAACGTCCGGTGCCCAGGAGGGAGGGTGCCCCGCTCTGGCTCCCTGTGCCCGGCACATTGTCCGGAGACCAGCCCCAGCTCCTAGGAGACGGCCCTCTGGGGCCAAAGAAGACAGCCTTTCATGCCAAGTTCTCGGCTTGCTTGTGCCTTGTCACTGGCCCAGCTGATTCCAGAGCTGAAGCTGGTTTGAGCACAGGTGTGTTAACCCTTCCAGTGGCTGGTGCCAGCTGCTACCCTGCTGAAGTCAGCTGTCAGCTTGGGAGGGCTTGTTCTGCTGTGCCAGGCAGGGCATGGGCCCTTTGGAAAGGTGGGTACCATTCTCACTTCATCTCCCCAGGAGGCCTGTGTATCAGTTTCTGCTTCCTGGCGCACCTGCCAGCAGGGCTGGCCTCCGGGGGTGCAGCCAGAATACTGTCTAGCTGGGCGCAGACCGGCCCAGCAGGTTTGGGTCTGTCACACGTGAGGAGGGAGCTTTTGCAGTTGCCTCTTCAGAGAGTGAGCAGGCCTTCCCCTTAACCCACCCACTCCTTCGGGCCCAATCCCAGCTCTGGAAAGGCTGCCTTACACCAGTTCAAGGTCAATCCTAAAGGCAAGACTCCCTGCCACTCCCCAGGAGACAGACCCCTCCCACCTGGGTCCCTTGTTCTCTCCCTCCTGAAGGACCGTCGGCTCCCAGTTGTGACTAATCCTCCTGAAGGAATGCCGAGTCCTAACTTGCAGGCTGCAGCTGCGCCTTCTGTGCTGTGGACATGAGGAAGGGGAACCAGGCCGTGCCTGTCACAGGTTCCAGGGACACCATAGGCCGGGGCTGCGCGGTCCCCCCGTGAGAGCTGCCCCCTGAGGGCCCTGCGTAATTGCTCCAAGCCCATCTTCCTTTGCAGCCAGCAGGGGCTGCTTCAAAGACCAAACCCTCGCCACGTGTGCTCTGGCTCTTGCCTGTCTATATTTAAAAACGCAGGCCCTGGCCCGGATAGCTCAGTTGCTTAGAGCGTTGTCCCAACATGCCAGGGTTGTGGGTTCCATCCCTGGACAGGGCACATACAAAAAGCAACCAATGAAAGGGGAACAACAAATTGATGTTTCCCTCCCTCTCTAGAATCAATTAAAAAAAAAAAAAAAAAATATATATATATATATATATATATATATATATATATATTCTTGTAAACAATGTCTATTCTTGTAAAGGCATTTATTTTAAAGTAAGGCTTATTGGGTGTGATTTACAGTGGCCTTCACCCTTGGTGTGCAGTTGTGGGAGTTTTGACATTTACAGCTGTGTAACTGCCACTGCAATCGAGTGATTCTGTCCCCCTACGGGCCCCTTGCACCTCAGCGCTGACCTGTTCTCGGCAGTTTTCCAGCCTTTCCTCCTGGTCCCTCCCCTGACGCTGGTTTGCACTTGCCCAGCGTGGTCCCTGGTCCCTTATCATAGCCACTGCCCTCTGCTCAGAACCCTCCCTGAGCTGCCTCCTGTCCGTCATTCTTTTTTTTCTTTTTTTAAATATATTTTTATTGATTTTTAACAGAGAGGAAGAGAGAGGGATAGAGAGTTAGAAACATCAATGAAAGAGAATCATTGATCAGCTGCCTCTTGCACACCTCCTACTAGGGATGTGCCCGCAACCAAGGTACATGCCCTTGACTGGAATCGAACCTGGGACCTTTCAGTTTGCAGGCCGATGCTCTGTTCATTGAGCCAAACCGGTTTTGGCTGTCCATCATTCTTCAGCTCTCACCTCATCTCATTACCCAGGAAACATCCCTGGACCACCCTCCCTCTCCCCAAACTCCATCCCTCTCTGGGATCCAAGGCTGCCCACTCACCTGTTAGATCCAGACCCCAGGCAGACAGGAACCTGTGTTTTATTTATCAGTGTGTCCCCTGGAACAGAGGGAGCTCCACCCACATTTCTTGAATGAAAGAAAACCCCTGTGAGAGAAGCTTGGTCTCCAACCTTCTGTGCCCCAGCTCTGGGCCTGTGCAGATGAGATGGCCCAATCATGCTCCGGGAAAACTGACCCCAACTGACAACCAGGAGGAGAGGCCAGGACACAGGGCTCCTTCCCAAAGCACATAGTAGGACCTCAGGCTCTTGGGGCCGCTGTGGGCTGTCCATGTGTTTGTAGACATTTGCGGACTCCGGCATCCACCTAGTTCCTGGACCCAGGAGCCTGGGGGTTTGCCCGTCGCTACTACCCCTTAGGCTGGCTGCCAGGGCCCGAGTCCCATCCCCTCAGGATCCCTTACCTCCACTCCCGTCTCCCCAGCCCGGGCCTGCCCTTTGCCCTGCCCTCAACGGGCCCGCTCAGCGTCCTCGGTCATGCCACGCTGTTTTCAGGTGCAGAAGCGTGGCCCTCTGCTGCCTGGGGACTCTGCTGACCTTCAACTCCCAGATCTGCCGCTGCCCCCACAGTCCTACCTGTTTCCCCGAAAATAAGACAGGGTCTTATATTAATTTTTGCTCCCAAAGATGCGCTAGGTCTTATTTTCAGGGGATGTCTTATTTTTCCATGAAGAAGAATACGGTACACATTTATTGGTAAGTGAAAATAAAGCAAATTTATTACCTGTATACAGTACAGTAGTACGGTAGTTGTCAACACAAACCAGACACACTGTGAATCCTACAGTATCAAGACTTTACTCATTTATTCAATGACAATCATGTCATCATCTTCTGGAACATCATCCTAACAATCCAATTCCTGAATTTCCTGGTGCATTTCTTGTGACTCCACATTTCTTTCCGAATCAGTGGACCAAATCGCTCATGTTTAGCAATAGCACTGTCTTTAAATGAGTACTTCTTGTCAAGGTAGCCTGCTGGCAGTGCATTTGCAATGCAACTGTCTGATTTTCTCCCATGAATTCTTCACCCAAGTCACAACTTCTTGCAGTTCAGGTTCCACAAAGTTCCCACGCTGATTTCTCTCCATTCTGTTTTCAATGTAGTCATTAATTTCCATGCGCAAATTGTCTTTGAATGGCTTGTTTGTTGCAATATCAAGAGTCTGGAGATAGGCCATCATTCCTGTGGGAATCATTATCTGATCTATTTTTCTTTTGTGAATTATTTTTCTTTCGTAAATTAATTTTCATTCTGAGACAGAGCCTAGGGGGCCTTTTTTTCAGGGGGAATGCCTTATATTTCACTCAGAAGGAAACTTGTAAGTACGTCTTATTTTCGGAGGATGTCTTATTTTCGGGGAAACACGGTATCAGCTGACCCTGCTGCGCCTTAGCTTTTCTCCAAAACACCCCTAATGTCGCTCCGTGCGTCTTTGCACGCCGACTGTCGCCATCCGCCCACTGAGATGTGCTGCCCTGCGGGGGCGGGGGGGGGGCGGGTCTGTCTGCTTTGCTCACGACAGAACAGCGCTGGCACACAGTAGATGCTCCATAAACATGTGCAGCTGATGGCCTGCCCTCCGTTTCCCTCCCTGCCCACCCCTCCCCTCCCCTCCCCTCCCCTCCTCCAGGAGGCCCGCCCAGTCCCGCCTTACTGGGCTTTCCTCAGTCCCCAGTGGCCCCCAGGGGACAACTATTAAATGTTGCCCCCTTCTGTCCCCAATCAGTTCACCACCCCCTAAATAACGGCCAGCCTCGCCTCCAGTGCCCTGACTGCTAGCTGCACCCATTGACATGGGCCTTAGTAATTATGAAGAAACAGATTTAGGAGCGTTTTGGGCTGTTTTCACTTCTTCCACCTTTTTCGCCTAGGCCAGGACAGATCCCAGATCCCAAAAGGGATTTTGGGCGGGACGCCCTGCAGAAAAGTGGACGCCCAGAGGGCGGGGCCAAGCCTGGGGCGGGGCGGGGCCAGTGAGGGGCGGGGCCTGGGCGGATCCGGGCGGGTGGCGTCCCGGGCCGGTGGCTGGTGGCGGCGGCTGCAGCGGCAGCGGAGGAGCGGGCTCTGGGCCGGGCCATGCCGGGCGCACGCGGGGAGTACCTGGCGCCCTGGTGGGTGGTGTGGCTGCACCGGGCCCCGCACCTCAGCCTGCGCCTGCAGTGGGTGAACAGCACCTTCCGCCCCCGCGATGAGGAGTACCAGGAGGTGAGTGTGCACCGTCCCAGCCCGCCGCTCTGCCAGCCTCCCAGACCGCCTCCCCCATCCCTTCCCCCCGGGACCCTCACCTGGGCGCTCCCGTCCGGGAACCTCGTGGGCCGGAGCACTGGGCGTTGGGGGTTCGATCGCGGTGGGAAGGGGAGGGGAGGGGGTGCGGGGCTGCCTGCGGGTGGAGCTGAGCGCGGAGGCGGAGGCCGCGCGGGGCGGGCGGGGACCTTTGTGCCGGATCCCGGTCCCTCCTCCGGGCCAGCGCGGGGCTCCGGAGTTTTCCTTCTGCGGCTTCGGGAAAAGCTCTCTTTCCGGGGCCGGGCGACCGGGAGAAGTTTGGGCTGAAACTACAATAACTGGAGTCTCCCGAGTTGGGCCCGCAGCGCCCCTCCTCCCAGCCCTGCCCGCTGGGTGGGAGCCGCGGCACCCCTCTTCCCGGGCGGGGGCGGGGGCCCCTCCGGCGCCGGGATGTTTGGCGGAAGGACGGTGGTCCGGGTTGGCCCCGGGTCGGCCCCATCTGGCCAGCGTCAGCCTCCCGGACACACGGCCTTCTGTACCCTGGGTTTTCGGGGTCTCAGCCGGCCACCCCCCTTCTCCCTGCACTTCTGCCATTTCTCTGTTGTGCTGGCCCTTCGCCCTGCGGTCTCTGTTCCCCACGGCGCGTGGGGTACCCCCTCCCCAGACTTCCTCGCCCAGGCTGAGCCACGGAAGCTCCCCACATTCTCAGGTCTGGCCCAAGCCAAGTCAGCTCCCTGCTGGTCACAGATCCTGCTGCCGCCCGGCCGGGCCCGTTTGTTCTGAGCTATGGGCCAGTTTCCGGACTTTGACCCCCGCCTGCAGTTCAGGTTCACGGGCACCGTATCCGGTATGGGGCCCGTCCGGCCTGCGGGACGCTGAGCCTGGAGCCGGCTGTTCGCCTCCTGCAGGCCCGGGAACGGGGATCCCCACCGGCGGGGTGTGCGGAGCCTGCTGGCCGTTAGTCTAATAATAGCTCCTGGGCCCTCCCCTCCCTCGCCTTCCCAGAGAATCTGGGCCCTCCCTGCCTGGCTCCCTCCCCTCCTAATCTGTGCCGGCTGGGCCCCTCCCAGTCAGAGCCCCGCCCGTGGGAGTCGGAGGCCCTGAGAGAGAATGCCCTTGCCTGGGGCAGCCCTGGGGGATATCCGGCTACGGTCACGGTCATGGCCCAACCCCAACCCCCAGGCTCCTGGTCCCCTCGCGCCTCCTGAGGACAGGGTGGGAGAAGAGGTGGGTGAGCCAGCCAGGGGTGGGAGTGGCTCTGGATGTGGGGCCTGTTTGGTGAGTTCTGTTGTCTGAGCCCATCTCTCCCAGAGATCCCCTTTCCCCTGAGAGGCAGTCCCAGCCAGAGCCGGGCAGCAGGTGGTAGCACCCTGGATCGGGCACCTTCTGCTGCCAGTCATCGGGGCGCTCAGCAAACTTGATCCGAAACGAGCTCCCTGCCAGGCTCGGGCGGCGGGATGGCCAGGGTGGCCGGGCCCGGGCCGGGCTCCGCCATGCCGCTGTTGCTTGCTGTGTGACCATGGCAGGTGTCTGTACCTCTCTGAGCCTCGCTTGCCCCACCTGCACATGTTAGGCCAGATGTCCCATGCAACATGCTTAGAACATAGAGGGTCCCATAGCACACAGTAGGACCGACCCCAGACACTGGTGAGCTAATGTGCCTGAAACATACTGATGTCTTAAGCTCCCCAGTGCTGTGCTCGCTGTTGCTACAGTCACCGTGTGAGCGCCACGTGCACTTCCTGTCCCCTCTGCTGCATCCGTAGACCAGCCCTCCGGGACACGCGTGAAGGAGCAGCGGTGCTTGTAACTGTATATGCAGGGCAAGCATGAAGCAGCAGAGATATTTTCGTGTTTCGGCATGTACTTTCATGTCTAAACTCGGGGTGCTTCTGTTTATAGACTCCCCACAAGGTGTCAGTGTGTGTGCCCAGGCCAGGGGAGGGCACAGAGTGGGGGCTAGGCCCAGAATTACAGGCTCGCCCCACTAACCCCCTCTTCGGCGTGGGGGCGGCCAGGCAGGGAGCCCCCGGGAAGGGCTGGGGCGAGCCAAGGCTGGGATGAGGAAGCACCATTCATCCAGCCTAAAGGTTGAGTCATGGTCATCGGACAATCACGCTGCACCCCACCCCCACCCCCATGGTGCCCGCCAGAGGGTGGGAGGGCAGCTGGGGGTGTTAACCCTTCCCAGCCTGTGGGCCCCGCGGCCCCGGCCTCCCCACAGGGCTGGCTCACTCTGTCCGCTGTGGCTTCTGGGAAAGGGGGCTCAGGCTGTTCCCCGCCCCCACTGAGTGCAGAAGCCCCTTGGGGTCCAGTCCCAGCCTCGGGCCTCCCAGAATGCAAGCGGGTCACTCTGCCCCCGGCTCGGGGCCTGGGTTTCTGCTCTGGTTCCTCAAACCGGAGTTCACCCAAGTCCCTTCACCGAGGAGAGGCTGGGCCGAGGGGCTGCGGGCAGGGCGTTGGGTGGGATGGGAGGTGGCGGCTGCAGGGCACCGGGAGGGCAGGTGACGTGGGAAGTTGTCCTGTCCAGGCTGTCAGAGCAGAACTGGCTCCCTCCACCGCTTTCTCCCTCTTCCATCCTCAATCTCCCCTGCACACGGGGATCTGCCCCATCCTCCCTCACCCCTGCACAAGGGGACCTGCCCCATCCTCCCTCACCCCTGCACACGGGGACCTGCCCCATCCTCCCTCACCCCTGCACACGGGACCTGTGCTGCTCAGAAGCAGGACTGTCATCCCCTGTGAGAGGGCTGCAGGGACATGGAGGTGGGGGAGTGGCTGTGGGAACTGTCCTGCTGGTTAGCCCTCCACTTCCCTCCTCCGCCTCCCCCACCTTCCTCCTTTCCTCTTCCCATCCCACCTCCTTCTCTCCCAGCCCCCTCTGCCCCATCCCCCCTGCCCTCCTAGCCCAGCAGTAAACCACTAACAATGCCCACCCTCCAAGTCTGGGCTTCCCAGCAAGGCCTTCCAGCCCTCCTCCCACCCCTCTCCCCGCCCCCCTGCCTGGGCTGAGGCATTATCGGTGACCTCATTGGGGCCAGGTGCCAGGCCTGCAGCCCCAGCCGCCGATTTTCAGAATCATCCCCCCCTTGGACCTGAAGGGTCCCGGCACCTCCCCCACCCTCTGATTGCTGCCACCAGCACGGGGTCCCCGAAGCAGGCTCCCGCCCCGACAGCCCAGGCTGGAGCACAGGGGGCTCTGGGCCAGGACCCCCTCGGGGGGCACGTGGGAGGCTGGGTGAGGCTCTCCCCTCTGGAGCCTGACTGGCAGCCAGAGCCAGCGCCGGCTGCGGCCACCGATCCTGGCGCCATCTGGCTGCATCAGGAGATCGGAGGGCATGGAGCAGGCACAGGCCTCCTGGCAGACAGCAGCTCCCTTTACGGGACCTGAGATCCTCGCTGGGCCTGAGCCAGCACCTCCTACCCCGTCGGAATTCTGGGCTTTGCTGCCACCACTGGCACATGAGGTCGTGGGGTCCCGTTCATGACTCCGTGAGAGGGACCCCAGAGGGTCCATCCGGACCTCTCCCCTCCCCTGGCTTCTGGCTTCTCTGGGGGGACCCCCACCCCTAGGACAAGGCTCGGAGGAAGCAGATCCGCCAGGACATCCCTTCCTGGGCCTGGCCCAGGTCCCCCTGAGCTCCTGAGGTGTCCCTCTCCCTGCCTGTCTCCCTCAGTCACCTGTCCCCTCAGCCCTCCCTGCCAGCAGATGCCCCCTGCCCTGTGGGGTCCTCGGGCAGGGTCTCACCCATGTCCATCCAGGCGTGTCGGCCACACACCTGGGGCTGGCCGGCAGCTGCCCCCATCCCACACCACCCCCCTCAGCTGGTCCTCCCCGACCCCCCAGCCCCCGTGTCTGCAGACGCACCGCTGAGCCTGGTTCCTACACCCACAGCCCCGTGGGCGCCCCAGGCCTGAGCGCAGGGCCCGCCCAGACCCCCCACAGGCCCAGCGCTGACCCCACGCCTCTCCCTCCGCAGTCGCTGCTGTTCCTGGGGCTGGTGGCCGCCGCCTGCCTGGGCCTGAACCTCCTCTTCCTCGCGGCTTACCTGGTGTGCGCCTGCTGCTGCCGCCAGGCCAAGCCGCGCCCGTCCTGCTGCGTCACCTGGTCGGCCGTGGTGGCCGGGCTCGTCTGCTGGTGAGTGTCCCTCCGCGCCGGCCCCACATGGCGGCTCGGGGCGGCGTGCGAGAGCGCGAGGGGACGCGGTGGGCGGAAAGTGGGCCTGCCCACCGCGTCCTGCCCTTCCTCGCCCTCCACCATCAGCCCCCCAACAAACCCCAGCGGTTGGTTCGTCCGCTTTCTGGCCACGTCCTCCTGACGGAGCTCCGGGTGCCTCATGGAGAGCCTGCCCCTGGTGGGCCTTGTCCCTTTTCTTGCCAGGCGGCGGGAGTCAGAGGCCTGGAGCGGGCATGGGGCCTCTGCTGTGCCACGTCCCCTGCCCGGCTGAGTATTGGGTGGCACAGGCGAGCAGAGGGCACCTGCTCTCTGAGTCCCTGTCCCCTCCCGGCCGCTGCCTTGAAGCTGATCAGTGACTCTCTCTCATCATTGATGTTTCTACCTATATCTTTTCCCTCCCTCTCTCTGAAATCAATATATATGTGTGTATATATATATATGTATATATGTGTATATATATGTATGTGTGTGTGTGTGTGTGTGTGTATATATATATATATATATATATATATATATATATATATATATATATATATATATATTTAATAACTCCAGAGGGTCAGATCCTGTAAGTAATAATCACCTGCCATTGAGGGGAAAGTACACAGGAGTGTGCAGTGCGCTTAGCGGGTTCTTCATGGTATTTGTGCCGGGCAGGAGGGAGCCAGGGAGAAAGACAGCACTGTACAAGGGAGGGCCCACTGACACACAGGCGGAAGGCGGGCACCCTGACCTGCACTTGTTTTTTTTTAAATATATTTTTATTGATTTTAGAGAGGAAAGGTGAGGGAGAGAAAAATAGAAACATCAATGATGAGAGAGAATCATGGACTGGCTGCCCTCTGCACGCCCCCCACTGGGAGCCTGCAACCCAGGCCTGTGCCCTTGTCCAGAACTGAACCTGGGGCCCTTCAGTCCCCAGGCCAACGCTCTATCCACTGAGCCACACCAGCCAGGGCCTGGCCTGTACTGTTAATGGGAACACTGAGCAGGGTCAAGGCGCCTGGAAGGTTCCTATCACAGCCTCCCAGGACCCCGTCCCGCTCCTGTCATGTTTAAAGAAAGAAGAATCAGTGCATACATGTCACCCCTACCCCCAGGATTGCTGTCATGAATGAACACCCAGGAGGCTGCTTAATGAGGCGGCTCACGGCCCCCAGGGTGTGGGTGAGAAAAGCGCAGTGGGTGACAGAGGCGGGGCCTGAGATGATTTGTTCCGCCTGGAATGCTGGACCAAATCCCACCAGATGCAATTTCACAGAGAGAGAGGCAAAGCTCCCCTATTGGTTAGAACAAAACAAACACCCATTCACCACGCAGGAGGGAGGGGGGACGGGAGGGAGCAGGGACAGGGCTTGGGGGGGATCCTGCGGAGAAACCGGGGCTTGTGAGTACCAGGTGGGGAGAGGGGATCTCAGGGCATCAGCGCCCCCCCCCCCACCTGCCCCTGCCCCGTGCTCAGCGCTGGATGGACAGCCTGGCCCCTCACTCAGGCCATGTTGAGGGGGAGCACTGCCCAGTGAGCGTGGAGCTAGAGGACCTGTGTCTGACCTCAGGTGTTGGACGGGGCGTCTGAGAATCAGAGGCTTATTCCGGGGGACCCAGAGGACACCGGGAGCCAGAAGGGGGCTCCGGCTCAGAGGAAGAAGAGGCTTTCTTCAGCTGGACTCACGGGGCCAGAGCAGGAGGGTTTTCTGCAGCCAGGCTGCCCTGAGCTGTGGAGGAGGCAGCCAGGCCGGGACAGGCTGGCCCTGAAGCCGCCCGCGGAGAGAGCGCCTCAGCTAACGTCAAACCCACCTGCTCTCCCCGGAGAGACCAGCTCTGTTCATAACAGTCAGACCTGAAAGCAACCAGGACTTCCGTCAGTGGGTGACGGGGACCTAAGCTGTGGCCCATCCAGACTCGGCGCCCATAGGAAATGAGCCACCCGCCGGCGTGGGTCAGTGGCCGAGCGTCCACCTGTGAGCCAGGAGACCACGGTTCCATTCCCCGCTACGGCTCATGCCTGGGTTGCGGGCTCCATCCCCAGGGCGGGGCGTGCAGGAGGCAGCCGATCCATGCTTCTCATCACGGATGTTTCTGTCTCCCTCTGCCTTCCTCTCTGAAACCAATAAAAATATATTTAAAAAGAGATGAGCCGTCCCGCCGTGGCAAGCCGGAGGAAGGGGAATGCGCGCGAGTGAGTGAAGGAAGCAGGTCCGAAGAGGCCACGTGCTGTGGGGCCCCCACCACATGGCATTCTGGGAAAGGCAAAGCTCTGGAGGCAGGGAAACACAGGGACGCCAGGGGCTGGGGGAGGGGTGGACAGATTGGACAGAGGGTTCCAGGGCGAGGACCATGCTCTATGTGGTGTTTAATGGAGGACGCATGTCCTCGGACGCTTGTCCACACCCATTGCATGTTCCACACCGAGAGGGAGCCTCATGCACACGTGGACTTTGGGTGACACGACGTGTCCATGTAGGTTCAGTTAGAACCTGTGGCCAGCTCTGGTGGGGGCTGGTGGCAGCAGGGGAATCTGGGAGGGGAGGCAGGAGGTACGTGTGTCACCCTGAACTTTCCGTTCCGTGTTGCTGTGAGCCTAAACTGCTCTAAAAAACACGCATATTCAACAAGGTCTCTGGTGCCACCTCTGACTTCCTTTGGGGTCTTGCCCCTAGTGCCGCGGTGGGCGTTGGTTTCTATGGAAACAGCGAGACCAACGATGGGGTGTACCAGCTGATCTACTCCTTGGAAAACGCGAACCACACCTTCTCCGGGATCGATGCGCTGGTAAGGCTCTGGGCAGTGGGCCGGGCCGGGCCGGGCACAGCGGGGGAGGTCAGTGTGGTCAGAACAAGGGCCCGGTCAGATCCTTCCCATTCAGCTCCGGGGGAAGAGGGGGCGCTGGACTCCATTTGGGGCTGCAGTTGGTCCTGCCAGGAGCGGACAGGCAATTGCTGCTTCTGGGGCGGGCGGGGTGCCAGGGACGTGAGGACCGAAGGAGAAAGGCTGCTGGGAGGGAGGGGAAGTTGACAGAGTGCAAAGGCGTGGGGACAGGGCGGGACAGATCCCAGTCATCTTCAGGAGACGAGGGCAGGGGGGCTGCTGGGAATGTGCCAACCCGCCCCCGCACTCCTCCTCGCTCGGCGGCTGTGCCCGGCCTGGGCCTGTCCGCCCATCCCCCTCAGCACCGCTCCACAGAACTCCAGTCACTATGGGACGGCTCCGGGACTTCCTCCGTTCCCTGGCCGGGATTCTCTTCCGGGGCTGGGCTCCTCCTCCAGGGTCGATGCTGGTGTGTGGCTCATGCGGCTCTTTGGCCCCTTGAGTGTGGCTCTTCCACAAAATACCACGGCCTGGGCGAGTCTATGTTGAAGAAATGGTGTTAGAAGAAGTTTAAGTTTAAAAAATGTGGCTCTCCAAAGAAATTTCAGTCGTCGTACTATGGATGTTTGGCTCTGGTGACTGATAAGTTTGCCGACCATTCTCCTATGGGACCACAGCTCCATCCTATACCCTATGGTACCACAGCTCCATCCTATACCCTATGGGACCACAGCTCCATCCTATACCCTATGGGACCACAGCTCCATCCTATACCCTATGGGACCACAGCTCCATCCTATACCCTATGGGACCACAGCTCCATCCTATACCCTATGGGACCACAGCTCCATCCTATACCCTATGGGACCACAGCTCCATCCTATACCCTATGGGAACACTGCTCCATCCTATACCCTATGGGACCACAGCTCCATCCTATAACCTATGGGAACACTGCTCCATCCTATACCCTATGGGACCACAACTCCATCCTATACCCTATGGGAACACAGCTCCATCCTATATCCTATGGGACCACAGCTCCATCCTATGGGACCACAGCTTCCACTATTTACTAACTGGCCTGTAACCCACCCCAGCCTCTGCCCCTCGGTGGGGGAGCTATTAACTCTGGAACATCCCCCTCTAAGGCCTGGGGTGGCGTGGGGAAGGGTGCTGCAGCAGGCCGGCGCTGGGTCTTTGTTTCTGCATTGCTGTTTCCTAAAGAAGACAGAGGAGAGAGGCAGCCAGGTCCTCGCGTCTGTCTTTGGAGGAGGGATTTAGGAAAAGAGAGAAGTTAACTCGGAGCTGTGGAGGGGAAGTGGCTTCCAACTGACGTTGACAGATCCCGTTCGCAGCCCTGGGCTGTCACAGAACAGGAACGTGAAAATGCCACGGAGTTCACGGTGTGTGTCTCCTCTTGCGTTTCATAACGTGCCTGCGGCCACGTGTGCGTCCATCTTAATGAATTAAAAAGGACAGTTTTCCGGGGTGACGCTTAGTTGCTGTGTTTACTTACACGTGGTTTTCACCCCGCGTGAGGCCGAAAGCCCAGGAAGCCATAAGGGGTGTGCACCTCTGCGCCCCGCCCCGCCCACTCCTCGGCCGGCCACGCCCACTCCTCAGCCGGCCACGCCCACTCCTCGGCCAGTGTGTGAGAACCAGGAACTAGCCGGAACCGAACAAGCCATGGACAAAACAAAACAAAACAAAACGAAACAAAGGGCCTTTCTCCTCCTGGAACCGGGAGCTCAGAGCGCGGAGCGGTGCAGATGTGAAGGCCGCCCCCCTAATCCGGGGTCATCTGCCTCCTGCTGAGCTCCGGCTGTGGGAAGCGCCTGCCCCTTCTCCTGGGTCACCTTTATCTTCCTTCCCGGCCCGGGTTTCACACGTCCGCCCTTCCAGCCAGCCGTGCAGGTCCGGTTAGCGTGACCACCTCAGGACAGCCCCGCTCTGCTTCCCCTCGCGGCCAGCACACCGCCGAGCAGGCCCGCAGGGAGGGAGGGGGGCGCTGGGCTCCGGGGCTGTGTCCCCCGGGGACCCTGGGTCTGCGGTCCTTGTCCTCAAGCCACAGACAGTCCCTGCCATCGCCCCTCCCCCTCGACCTTCGGATCGCAAGTTGCTTCCTTCAGGGTCCGCTCAGCTCCAGGTTCTTGAGGCTCAGCCTGGGGTCTGGAGCGTGTCCCTCCGCCTGCCGGACAGACGTGCAGACAGAGAAGGCGCTGGTCTCCTCCCACCAGGTGTCCAGGCGGCAGGATGGGGTCTGTCTGTTTGTGCAAAGCTCCCTGTCTGCCTTCACGCCAGCGGGGAGCTGCCGCTGGCTGGAATACCAGCATCTTTCTCTCTCGAGGCCTTTCCATCCTGTTTGGGGAATGAACAGTCAGGCGGCAACAGGAACTCTGGGCTCACACAGAGGATTCCTCGCCCCGAAAGAGAATCTGTAATCCCAACGTGTTGAGAGTTTTAGGAGAATCACAGGGAAGCAACAGGGGGATCGTGTGTTTCCCGCCTGGGACTCAGGTGCTGGATCGCAGGGACAGATCCTGGACAGGCCAGGTCGGGACCTGACCCCTGGAGGGAGGGGCCAGAGGGCTGGGTGGGTGATGGGAGCCTCTGTCCTCCGTCTTCCCTCTGAGCAGCAGCCTCCGGAGCCCTGCAGGGCTGGGCGGGCGGGAGGGCTGTGGTGGGCGTAGGTGGAGGTGCACTCACTGGAGCCCAAGCCCCGTCCTCCGCTCCTCCCAGCACTCCTCCGGAATCAGAGTCGGGGTCCGGAGCCGCCCCCTCTGGCTTCCTCCCGCCCCCTGGCCAGACTCCCACCCCGGCCTCTCCCCAGGTGTCCGGAACCACCCAGACGATGGAGGTGGACCTGGCGCGGCACCTGGCCCGGCTCGGCGAGATCTTCGCCGCCCGGAGCGACTACCCCCAGGCCCTGAAGCTGGTGCAGCAGAGGGCGGCCGGCCTCGTCGACCAGCTGGCGGGGGTGCCCGTGTGGACGGAGGTCAGCGCCCAGCTGACCCGGCTGGCCGACCAGACCGGCTACGTGGAGTACTACCGGTGAGGGCCCCGGCAGGGAGGTGCCCCAAGGTCTCCACAAGCCGTTAGCTGAAGTGAGAGGACACGAGGGCTGGCGGGGCGAGGGCTGGGCCTTAGACCAGCCTCCGGGAGGGCGGTGCTCAGCTGGGACCCCAGCCTGGACCTCACAGCTCGGGCTCCCAGCACCGGCTTGCTCACTGGCTGCTGCTGGGTGAAGTACAAGTGGTTGACGGTTCCTCACCTGCCGCCATGTGTGGGGCCAGCGGCCAGGGACATGGGCGCCTCTTTGTCTGCATGGAGCCTCCCCTGATGGTAATGTCTTAGCAAGCCCAGCGTGCCCCCAGCTGGAGCGATGGGGGCTGGGGGACACACACACACCGCCCCCCCCCTCATTTGCCATACTCGGTGCAAGCTCATCCCTACGTCACCTGTTCTTTGGGGCCCAGTGATGTGTCCCCTGCCCCCCCACTCCTCAGACACCGGGCCCAACACGCTGGGCACTCACCGGTCAGCCAGAGGGTCTAGAGAAGGTCCCCCTGGGAGAGCCCGGGAGGGCGGCAGCCGTCTGGCTGAGTGTCTCCCGGCTGAAGGAGCACCCACTCATGAAGTCCCTGCACCCGGGCCCGGCACGGAGTAGGCTGGAGGGCGGAGCAGATAAATGAGTCCTGACCAAGAGGTGTCACCTCTTTGGACCCCCTTCTCCCTCCCCACCCATTGGCTCCTTTTCAAGCCATTTGCAAAGGTCACCGCCTTTAGCCCGAGTTGCACCATCTACTCTGGCTTTCTGGATTCATTTCCCCTTTATGGGAAAGCCCCTCCCCTGGCTGAGAAGCCAGAGACCTCCGCACCCCTGGCTCTCACCTCCCTCGGGGCAGGGCCCTGCTGAGAGGCAACACATGAGGTCTTGGCTCCAGGTAGCACCCCGCCCCCAGACCCTCCCTGCAGCCGTCCAGCCCCTGCCCTAGATGGAGGATCCTGTGCAGCAGCGCCTTTCTTCCTGGTGACAGACTGCCACCTCTGAGGACTGGCTGTGACCCGTGACCCCAAACAGAGGCCGCTGATCCGTCCTGGGACGGAGAGACATTCACTGGCTGAGCCTCCACAGCCTTTTTGTCATGCGGGGTCAGGGGAGTCAGGCGGTTGCAGCCAGCTTTCTCCGAGAGGACCTAGCAGAGGGCATATCTAAAGGAGCTTATTTTTAAGGTAGTTTTCTTAAAAGTGGGAGAGGTGGGCCCTAACTGGTTCAGCTCAGTGGATACAGAGTCGGCCTATGGACTGAAGGGTCCCAGGTTCAATTCCGGTCAAGGGCATGTACCTTGGTTGCAGGCACATCCCCAGTAGGGGGTGTGCAGGAGGCAGCTGATCTATGTTTCTCTTACATTGATGTTTCTAACTCTCTATCCCTCTCTCTCCCTCTCTGTAAAAAATCAATAAAATGCATATAAATAAATATAAATAGATAGATAGATAGATAAAAGTGGGTGGAGGAGCGTGGTGCCAACTGCCCAGGAGCTATTTCAATCTGGGTGATTGACAGGGACCCCTAGAACTCCCGCCCCCAATTCCCACCCCTTGGGCAGCAGAGGTCTCCTCGGGGTTAGTGCCTGCAGCCCCTGAGCCCTGAGGATGGCCTGTCCCTTGTCCCATCTTCCGCTGTTGCTCGCTCCTTCTCTCACCCGCTCCTTCTCTCACCCGCTCTTCTCACTGAGCGGCTCTGGGCGCTCTCTGTCTGTTCTTGGCTGACCGGCCTTAGGGCTGGGGCTCCAGGCAGCCTCCCCCTCTCTGCCTTCCGGACGGTGCAGAGCACGGCCATCCAGCTCAGCAGACATCCCTCAGCACTCCTGCCCACGCACTGGAGGCCTGACAAGCCCGCACAGACGGCCTTGTGACGGAGTGAGCCCAGGAGTGAACCGGCGGAGGCCGGATGTGGGCGGGGCCATGGGAGTCAGGGCTGGCCGCTTCTTGGAGAGCCTTGAGCCCCGTCCGTCCTCCGTTGGAAATACAAACCCAGGCCATCCCCCACTCCTCTGGGAAGATGCATCCGCCTCGCGGAGCTGTTTCCAGGAACCGCATGCGGCGGGAGGCGAGGCTGCAGAACCAGGGGTTGAGCTCGGTCCTGGAGAGTGAGCCGGAAGCAATCCTGACCTGATTTCCTGCCGATGGGGAGGGAAGCCGCGAGAAACCTTCTGATTTGAAACATGAAGCCAGGACTTTGAGAGGGGCCTGGTGGCTGGCCTCTCTCTCTCTCTCTTTCTCTCTCTCTCTCCCTCTCTCTATATATATATACACACACACACACGGGAGAAAGGGATAGAAACATCAATGGTGAGAGAAGCATTGATCAGCTGCCTCCTGCACGCCGCACACTGGGGACTGAGCCTGCATCCTGGGCATGTGCCCTGACCGGGAATCAAACCATGACCTCCTGGTTCATGGGTCGATGCTCAACCCACTGAGCCACACCATCCAGACATGGCCTTGTCTCCTGTAGGAAGGTTGGAGAGTTGGGGAACTCCTGGGCCCGGCTCCCTTGCTGCCGGCCTCAGTTTCCCAATCTGTGAGTGGGGATCCTAACACCAGATGGTCCCCAGGTCCTTCTGGCTCTGACTCTGATTCTGAGAAAGCTGGCTCCTGATGGCCTCGTCCTGCAGTCTCCCCCAGAGCCTCCGCCTCCATTTCTGGGCGCCACAGGCACCTGCCGGTCTGCCCCACTCTGTGCCGGGGGTGTTTCGATCGGAGGGTCTCCATTCACAAAGGCAGGAAGAACCACACTTGGCTGCCACGCCTCCAGCGAGCTCCCTCCCCCTCGGAACCCTTTTGTCACTTTCTCCCGGCTCCGGCCCACTTCCTGCCCCGTATACACGCCAGCCCTCTCACCCTCCTTGGGTACCAGTGAAGCAGGAAACCAGCGCTGGAGAGGAGGGGTCCCTGAATTTATTTGGCTCCGACATCGAGGAAAAAAATGAGCAGGAAGCTTCCCTGTGGGCACTAGGAGAAGGCCCTCCAGGGCCCACCCCGCCCCCGGCAGTGGTACAGCGAAGGCTCGGTGGGCCTGGGGCTGCTGGTCAGGCCCCCCATTGGGGAGTTGTGCCCTGCTCCCCCTGACCATCCCTCGCACCCTCCCCACTCCCCTAGGTGGCTTTCCTACCTCCTGCTCTTCATCCTGGACTTGGCCGTCTGCCTCTTCGCCTGCGTGGGCCTGGCCAAGCGCTCCAGGTGCCTCCTGGCCTTGTGAGTAGCCCGGCCTGTGGGCCTGGGACAAAGATCGGGGCGAGCAGGGGGGGTGGCGGGGCCACCAGCAGAGAGAAGGGGACCCCCGTCAGGCTCGAAGGAGGTGGTAGGAGCAACAGCCTGCAGCCGCCTCCTCCCCTGCTCAGCGCCCAGCCAGGAGGGGGCGGCAGCCACCTTGTTATCTGGACCCCAAGCAAGGGCTAGGCTTTCCCCTCTATGTCCCCCACCGGGGCCTGCCCAGGCCTGAGCCTCCCCCCAGCACCTCCTCCCTAGCCAGGACCCACCCCTGTCTCCAGCTCAGCCACCTACGTCCCAGGGGTGGGCCCTTCTCCCTGTCCCGGCAGTCAGCGGGGCCCATGGCAGGGCAGGGACCAAGACTCGCGGCTCAGGGAGGGCAAGTTCATGCCAAGAAGAAGGGCGCTGAGGTTGGTGGGGTATCAGCCATCAGGGGGTCCCCTGTCTGCCATTGCCTGGACCCCACCGCTGTGCCTCTCTCCCAGGCTGCTGTGCTGTGGGCTGCTGGCCGTGGTCCTCAGCTGGACGTCCCTGGCTGCCGACGCCGTCGCAGCCGTGGTGAGTGGGGGTGAGTGGGGGGGACTCGCCTGACCAGGACCTGCTGAGGTGGGTGGTACATCAGCGTGTCCCGCCCAGCGCCCCCAGGCCAGGTCGGCTTCCGATCTCTGTCCCTAAGCTAGAACCCCAGAATCTGAGAGCTGAAGGGCCTTAGATCCCCTGCACCAGCCCCCACCCCCTCACGCTTCAGGGGGGACACAGGCCCAGGGAGAGGAGGCTTCCCTAGGATCCTGAGGCGGTTAGCCAAGGTGATAAAAAGACAGCGGGAGCCTGTCCTTTCCCCCACCCGGCCGGGCCCAGCCACGGCTTACTGCTCGTGAGGACGTGCAGGGTGAGAGGTGACGGGAGGGACGGGTGGGGTCTGGCCCTCGGCTGGCGGAGCCCCCTGGCCTCCAGCCCTCTGCCCTCGGCGGCACAGCCTTGGGCCCTGGGACGTGGCATTGAACTTGCCTCTGTCCCCTTCCCTCCCACCCGGTCTGGCTCCCAGCGATGCATGTGTGTGGATGTGGCACCTCAAAATGTTAGAAACTAAAATACAGGGTCGGGGCACCTCCTATGCAGATGCTCGGTCTTTAATAGATCTGGCGTCTGAGTTAAGCTGCGTGCGTGAGTTCTTCACTCATTCACTCATTCACTCCTCATTCACTCATTCATCTGGCTGTTGTCTGGCTCCGTGGCAGCCAGTGGGCCGGTGCCATGTCTGTTCCTCACTAAGTGGCAGGAGAAAGGCTGGTGGGATATCTGCACCCCCATGTGGATGGGTGCCGCGGAGGTGCCCGCTGTGTGTGTGGCGGGGGGGGGGGGGGGGGGAGGCAGGATTTACCAGGGGGTTCAGGGAGCCCCTCGCTGATTCGAGGGCCCCAGCGACCTGGACAGAAAGGAACGGGCTCCTGCCCGGAGCCCTGTACCCAGACTTACGCCCAGGGGCTCAGGGCTGGCCGCTCGCTCACGGGACCCAGAGAATGAACGCCGAGTGCTGCTGGGGCGGAGCTGGCCGGAAGGCAGAGGAGGCGGGCAGCTCCCGTTGGGGCTTGTTCCCCCAGAGGGAGAGCTGGACAGGCGCCAGCATGTGTCCCAAGGTGGGGGGCCCCTCAGACACAGGGAAGGGCAGGTCAGATGGCACACGTCATGCTCCAAGGCATCCTGACGCCATGGGGATGGGGGAGGTGGGGAGGGGGCTGTGTATAGTCAGGAGAGTGGCTGCTGGCCAGGGCAACACGCACCACTGCCAGCCCACCGCCTCCCCTCCGGACGGTGTGAGCACAGGGAAGCTCACACATGCAGTGCATGCTGGGGCCTCCTCCCCCACCCCCCCCAGCCTCTGCCCCAGGAGCAGCAGCAGCCAGCGTGCCCCCTGAAGCTGCCCTGTGGGAGGCAGCTTCCTCCCGGCTCCTCCCCGGCTGCAGCATCCGGGGAGCCCAGCGGTGATTTACAGTCTCTGGGCCGGGTGCCTGGGGTGCAGGGTTGCAGAGAGAAAGGCCATTTCCCTGACTGGCATAGTCAGGCCCTGGGTGCCAGAGCCCCTGAATGAGCCTTTGATTGGCTGCACATCCTGCTGCATTGTAAACGGAAGCGGGGGAAGCGGGGTGAGGAGGAGCCGGACGGGGAGGCGGGCGGCCAAGGCTGCTGTGGTCCTCTTTGTGTGGCCGCCCTGCCCCCGCGCTCCGAGGCCTGGCTTCTGTTTGTGGGTTGTTTTTGGAGCTGTGGGGCCAGAGAACTGACACGGTGCCCCCCATCACCCACCCCCTCTGCCTTTTCTGTCCCCTGAAGGATCTCCCCAAGGAGGCAAGGGGCAGTAGGAGGTTTGGCTGCACAGCACCACTGATTTGAGGGGAGCTTCCCGGAAATCTGGGCACTCCTTCCCCGCATGGGCCCCTGGAAGGTCACTGAGGCTCTCCTGGCCTCAGCCTTCTCCTCTGTAAAATGGGGAGAATCCTAGCCCTTGCCCTAGAGGATGGTTTGTTGGTGGGATGATGGGTGGTTAATCCATGGGATGGGGGAAGGAGGGGGTATATAACACATGCTCACTTAATGGCAGTTTCCACTGGTTACCACTGTGTTGTCATGTGAGGGTCCCAGGCTGACTCCTTTGGAGTCGGGAGCTGCCTGCAGGCTCAGCCACCAGCTGGGCCCTGGGTGGCTTCTCCCCCCGCCCCAGCTGTGCTCGGCCCCTTTCCCTCCCCTCCCATCCCCGTCCCCACTGCGTGGCCAGTGCATACACAGGCCCCTGTCCTGGTGACAGACACGGGGAGTCCTCCTGGCCGGATCGGGGAGGCAGGGACGAGAAGGCCACATCCCTGGCAGAGCTTCTGACAGGGCCTCCTGCCCCGTCTTTGGAACTTCTCGGGGGTGACCCAACAAAGATGGTAGCCTCGCTCTCTCCCCACCCCCCCCCCAACCCCCTCTGGCTGGCTCCCCTCCTTCTGCCCCTCCCGTGACAGGGCGGGGTGCCTGGGCCTTGCTGGTCACCAGCCAGGCCATGCAGTGGGTCATCCGTGGCAGAGCCTGGAGCTTGTCCTCTGACTCCCAGCCCCCCAAGTCTTCCCGAGCAGGCCCCGCCCCCAAAAGCACAAAGACGGATTCAGCACCAGCATCCTTCTTTAGAGGGTCCAGGGAAGGCTCCCCGGATTGACACCCCGGAGGGTGTGGGACCTGGGAACAGCAAGACAAACAATGAAACAGATGAGCAAGGGGGCCCTGGTGCAAATGACCCAGCACCCACCCCGCAGCCGCCGTGGCCCCAGCTCGCCAGGGTCCCTCCCGGAGGAGGCATCGGAGACTTGGAGGCTTGGTGGACATTAGTTCATAAAGGGAATGTTCTAGGCAAGGCGCCTGCAACAGAGCTAGGAAGGGCAGAGGCAGGACTCAAACGGGGCTCCTCCCAGGGCCCGAGAGTTGTGACTTGGCCCCGCCCCTCCGTCTCTCCCTGGCTTAGGGCACCAGTGACTTCTGCGCGGCTCCCGACAGCTTCATCCTGAACATCACGGAGGGCCAGCCTAGCACAGGTAACCAGCCTGCGGGCCTCCGTGGTCAGAGCTGCCTGGTCAGCCAGGCTGTGCCTCTACTTACCTGTTTCAGCCCTGTGGTCCCCAGTCTCTCCCAAACCCCACACTTCCAGCACCAGCTGGGCCTCCTTCAGAGGTCCTCCTCCTCCGTTTCTTTTTGTTATTTGTTTTTATTGATCTCAGAGAGGGAGGGAGAGGGAGGGAGAGATAGGATCATCAGTGATGAGAGAGAATCACTGATCGGTTGCCTCCTGCGCACACCCCCACCGACACTGAGCTGGGGATCCCCCGTCCTGTGCCCCGACTAGGAATCAAACTGTGACCTCCTGGTTCACCAATGGATGCTCAACCACTGAGCAACACCAGCCGAGCTGGGCCTTTTCTGAGAACCTGCCTTCTTGGGGAGCTTGGGGGTGGCTCCGCCTCGGAGGATGGACGAGGGCCTGGTCCCTTTCCTGACCTGGTCTTTGCCTTGCAGAGGTGACCCGTTACTACCTGTACTGCAATCAGAGCGTCAGCAGCCCCTTCCAGCAGGTACTGCGCCCGCCCAGCCCTCCCCCTGCCCACAGTCCCCCCTCGTGGGCCCCCGGCCCCAGCACTGACCGGGCAGGGGGAGGCGGCCGGGTGTCCTTTGCTTCGCTGTGGTCCTCTGAAGGGGACAGTGCTCTCGGTCAGCATCCTCCAGGTCACAGTAGACCCAGGGCGAGGTTGGCGTGCAGATGCAGCGAAGTGGGTCTGGGGGGGAGGAGGTCCAAGAGTCGGCATCTCTTTCAGGCCCCTAGGCCAGGCCGGCGCTGCTGGTCCGAGGACCATCCTCTGAGCAGCAAGAAGCAAGAGGACCCTGCAGCTCCCAAGGAGCCGGGGGATGAGAGGGAGGTTCCTGTGGGCGGGAAGGGCCTTAGCCAGGGGTGAGCGTGCAGAGGCAGCCCGGAGAGGGGTGCTACGGGGGAACCGCCCTCCGCAGCGGGGGGGGCCTGGGGAGTGACCCTCACCGCGCGGCCGGGTCTCTCCTGGGCAGGCGCTGACCGTCTTCCAGCGCTCGCTGACCGCCATGCAGTTCCAGGTGGCGGGCCTGCTGCGCTTCGCCGTGCCCGTGTTCCCCACGGCGAAGGTGAGGCAGTCTCCCCAGCGCCCACGCAGAGGAGGGAGAGCCCGGGGCCAGGGCCTCAGGGAGCCGGGCGGTGGGCAGGTGCTCCCCCTGGAGTCTGGCCCCTGTGGCTTCAGAGGCCTCTGTGCACCACCCGCTGCTGTGGGTGATCCTCGCCACAAGCCCCGCCCCCACCGCTCAGTCTCTGCCTGTCTTTCTGTCCATCTGTCTGTCTGCAGGAGGATCTGCTCAGCATCCAGCTCCTGCTAAACTCCTCCGAGTCCAGCCTCCACCAGCTGACAGCCTTGTTGGACTGCCGAGGGCTGCACAAGGTGCTGCTTGGCCCCGGGGGCCGTGCGTGGGGTGGGAGCCACATTTTCCCAGAGCAGCCAGGAGGGGCTTAGAGGAGAGATTGCCCGGGGATGGGGAGGAAGCCGGGCAATGGGCAGGTGGGAGAGATACCTGGCTGCTTGGTTCTCTCCAGCAGCTGAGACAGGGAGACTCGGTGAAAGTACCAGGGGGCGAGCTGGCAGCACTGGGTCACGTCACCTCTAGGGTACTGGGGACCCTGACCTCGGGGAGGGCGGCCGCTCCCCACTGTCCACACTCCCGGCCACCTGGTCGTCCCGTCCATCTCCCTGGGTTGCAAGTGGGCATCCCAGGCCCACGGCCAGGGTCAGCTCCTGGGATGGGAACTCAGACATGATGCAGGGAACACACTGGGATCGTGTCGGCAGCTTTCACATCCCGGGGCGGGGGGCGGGGGGCAGGGGGGAGCAAAGAGTCATCGTGCCGGTCCAGGCCGAGGGAGAGGGGCTTCCGGGGCCAAGCCCAGCCCCCAGGCCGTGCCCGCTCCCGTCCAGCTGCGCGTCCCCTCCCGCAGGACTACCTGGACGCCCTGGCCGGCGTCTGCTACGACGGCATCGAGGGCCTGCTCTTCCTGGGCCTCTTCTCCCTCCTGGCCGCCCTGGCCTTCTCCACCATGGTCCGCGCGGGGCCGCGGGCCTGGAAGCGCTCTCCCGCCAGGTGGGCTGCCCGGAGGGGGCCTCCCGGGGGGCTGCTCTGACGGAGCTCAGAGCTGACCACCCGGGATGGACAGGAACGGCGGAGGGCACGGGCACTCCCCCCCAGCAGGCCCCTGGGTTGGTTTCTGCAGAAGGAGCTGGGGCGGGAGTGGGTCTGAGGACGGTGACAGCATCGCACCCCCACCTGGCATCCCTTGCTGGTCCTCTCTTCCTCTGCAGGCCTCTGCAGTGGGACATGAATGAGGGGGGTTTCCCTGCTGGGAGGGGTGCCCCAGGACACCAGGAAGCAGAGGTGGTAGCACTGCTCAGCGCCCGCCTGTAGAATCTTGAGGAGGTAGACAGAGAAGAGATGGAAGGTCCGAGGAGAGGAAGCAGCTTAGGGAGACTCCGTGGTCAGCATGGCGGGCTGCCTGGAGGCAGCGGCTGTGAAGTTGGGATCAGGGCTGAGGAGCGTGTTTCAGGGGAAAGTCAAGGACGCGGCTGTGGCCGGAGGGCGAGTCCTGGGAGGAAAGACGGGGGAGCCGGCCTCGCCCCTCACGACGGGCGGGCGGGCCGCCTCCTGTGTCGTTCTAGGGACAGAGACTACAACGACATCGACGACGACGACCCCTTCAACCCCCAGGCCCGGCGCATCGCGGGCTACCTCCCGGCGCGGGGCCGGCTGCCCAGCTTCTGCAGCTACAGCGGCAGCCTGGACAGCCAGCCCGGCCCACCGCCGGCCCAGGCGCTCTCCAACGCGCCGGTCTCCGAGTACATGTACGGCAGGGCCCCTGGCCCCCCACCCCACCCCGGGCAGCCTCGCCCACAGGGAGATAGGTCCGCCGGTCCCAGAGGCCGAGGGATCCCCTCCCCGGAGCCCTGGGGTGCTGGCAGGAAGGCCCCAGGAGCAGCTAGTCACATGACCCCTGCATAGCCCCGTGTGCGGAGGGAAGAACCCACTGTCGGTGGGTCTCAGGCCGAGAATCTGCATTTCCCCAGGCCACGCTGCCCCTGGGCCCTGCCGCTCACCGAGGCCTATTCCCCGGGCCCCCCCCCCACACACACACACACTCAGCTTCCTGCCCACACTCCCTCGCGCTCTCCATGGTCCGTAGGCACGCCCATGGGACCCTCCTTCCCCGCGCCCGCCCCCCTGAGCACTCCTCTCGGCCCTGCAGGAACCAGGCTGCGCTGTTCGGCGGGAACCCGCGCTACGAGAACACACCGCTCATCGGGAGAGGCTCGCCGCCGCCCACGGTAACGGGGTCCCCCAGCAGGCAGGGTGCGGAGGGCTCCGGGCAGGCGTCTGTCCGGTTAGGGCTGCACCTGCCCGTCCAGTAGGTGAACTAGGAGCCCTGGCGTCCCGGGACCTGGGATCTGTGGCGCTGAGACCAGGATGCTCAGGGGCCCTCGGGGATGCTGCTGCAGGAAGTGCCCCGGATACTTAGGGACCTGCAGGGAGGGGCGGGCGCCCCAATTACGGCCACACAGCTGGCTGGCCCGGCTCCCGCTCCCTCAGAAATTCCCGGCACCTTCCCGAGTACAGCGTCCGGTTTAGCTGGTGACGCGTCTGACTCTGTGCTGCTGCCGCCTCTCCCCTCTCTCCCCCAGTACTCTCCCAGCATGCGGGCCACCTACCTGTCCGTCGGGGACCAGCACCTGCGGCACTACGGGAATGAGTTTCCAGCCTAGCTCCCAGAGGCGCCTGCCGCCTCCGACCGGCGCCGTTTGGGATTGGTTCGCCTGGAAGCTGCGTGTCATTCATAGAAGCCAAAGGCCTCTGGGGACCACCTGCGGGATGGCAGGGCCGGACGGCGCCCGGGCCTGGCTGGGACCCTGACCAAAACCGCAGGCAGACAGACGGAGGGCCCGCCACCTGGACCGGCCTCTCCCTCCTCTCCTGTCCCCCAGCTGCTGGCTGCCCCTACCCGGGAGCCTGGATCCCGCCCTCGCCGGGTGGGGAATGACAATGACAGCGAGGAAGGCCCGGCTCAGGCCCGAGGGTCCCACTGCCAGCCCTGTGCCTCCTGCGTGCATTTTCCTGCAGGCAAACCTGGAAGCGCTGATCGGGAGATGCTTGCGGGAAGGCGATGTCCCCGATGAGACCGTCTCCCAGGGCCTGGGGGCCTCTTCCTGGGCCTCAGAGAAGGTGCTGGAGCCCTGCCTAGGAGGGCTGCTGCCGCTCGCTCGGGCCTGGCAGCTCTGCAGTGACAGCGGGTGGGAATGGGGTGACAGCCCGCTCCGTCCCCGGCCTTTCCGCAGTCATTGGTCGCATCACCTCCCTTCCAGCGCCATGCTGGAAGTGATGCTGGGAGTGCGTTCACGCCGACAGGAAATCGCGGACACTTTGAAAGAGACTAACTCTCCTTTCCCCAGCGTTTTAAATACGTGGATTCGCCAAAGAATTGAGCCTCAGGGCGCAGATTTCACAGTCCATCCGGCTCCGTCCTCACCCCTGGTTTGGATCCCGTTCCTTTTCGGGTCTTGCTGACACTGCCAGGACCTAGGGGAGGAGGGAGGGGGGATTTTTAAACAAAATAAAGATCAGTGAGACCTCCTGCCCTAAGCTGCTGTGTGATGGCCCTTTAAGGGGGAAGGAAGGACAAACAGCATGAATGGCGTCCACCCAGGGGAACGGCCGGCATGGGCCAGTGTTCTCCCTTTTGTCTTCAGGCGAGTTTGTCTGGAAAGGTTTTAGCAAAGCTGGACAACTGTCGTCTTCCTTGCCACCCCCACCACCCTATCCGCACCCCACCCCCTTGTCCCAGGCCCTGTGCTCCCCGCTGGTGAGAAGGCACTAAACCAGGAGAAAACACCCACGGTTCTGCCTGCGGAGGAGCCAGGGTTAGGGTCTTGGGTGCCGCCGACATCCTGCCAACTCTCAGTGCCCAGTGCTCCCACGGCCTCCCACGCCAAAGCAGGGACATGGGTGCCGGGCTTGGGGCGAGGCTCCAGTTGCGTTTTGGAAGAGCCACCTTCTCGTCAAACACGGACAGCAGAGCGGTTCTCAAGCCCCCAGGACAGATGGGGCCACGGGGCAGCCAGGACTCTCAGCATTAACCTCTGGGCCGTGCACCATAGACACCGTCGGTGGCCACGTCCTGTGCGGATGGAGACGGCGACGGCAGGCTGCACGGAGGACTAATGCATGCAGACCACACGAGGAGGTCCCTCTGCCTGGTCCACGTGCGCCCCCCTGGGCGGCCAATAAACCGCTTGTCCTAGAGTGTCTGCTCCGTGTCTGCCCTCCTTGGCGGTGGAGGAAGGAGGGGGCTGGTGGGGCTGGAGGGCCTCCGGGCACATTTCAGGGGCAAAGTCAGTCTTTGGGTTGAAAGATGGGGCTACTGCCCCAGCTGGCATGGCTCAGCGGATAGAGTGTCGGCTTGAGGTTTGATTCCCACCAAGGGTACATGCCTGGATTGTGAGCTTGATCCCCAGGGGGGGGGGGGGTGTGTGGAAGGTGGCTGATTGATGATTCTCTCTCATCATTGATGTTTCCATCCCTCCTCCCTTCCTCTTTGAAATAAAGAAATATATATTTTTTAAAAAGAAAGAAAGAAAGATGGGGCTATTGAGAAGGCCACGGGCCCTCCCCTCGCTACCATCACACTCAGACCCCGTGCCTGCACCCCCCCCCCCCCCTTCAGCTTCCCCGGAAAGGGCTCTGCTCTTCCTGTCGCTAAGAATGAGGAGCATGTGAGACGCCTGCAGGGCACCAGGGCTGCCCCACGTGTTTCTGTTCGTTGCTGGTGAGACCTCAGTAACTTTGCGGGCCATCATTTTGCAAACGGGCCACCAGAGAGGGTAACTGGGAGCGAGGGCCAACCCAGAAGTCAGGCTGGGGGCCTCCGTGCCACGCTATGAGCACGTATGTTCATGAAGATGTCATTTTACATGTGTGAGACTAACATGCCACCACCAACGGTTACAACTAGGAAATGAATCGGCAGAGTGGCTGCATTCAAGGTGAACGCAAAACAACGCTTGCATTTCAACAATGAACTACTTGTTTTCATCCTCTGAAAAACTTGTTTTCATTCTCTTGACAATGGCACCTGCACAGAACACTGGGAAGGAGGGAAAGGGGGTGTCAGTGACCAGTGTTGGCAGTCTCCGGTCTCCGCTCCGGAAGTGGTCTGCTTCTTACTTCCGGATGATTTGTCTGGAACCTATTCGCCTCTGACCGCACAAAACCACCTCGGTGGGCTTTCAGATGCTCCTCCCCAGCCCCCAGTATCCACCCCAGAGTGCTCCGAGAAGCCCGTGGAAGCTTAGGGGCTGATCTTTGGTTGGTGTGGTGGGCAAAGTGACATCTCGTTGGGAACTGTGTTGCCCAGCCCAGTTCAAGGCAGGTGGGTGGTGGTGAAGGCATACGTGGAGAAGTTGGAGAGTTGGGAAGGGGGTGGGGGAGGCACGAAGGATGCATCCACCCCCCAAATGCCTTTCTTCCACCATCACACCCCCCCCCCCTTGCTCACACCATGCTCCCTCCCCCCAATCTGGAATGCTCTCCTTTGCCCTGCAACTCACAACCACTGTTCAAGGCCTGGTTCCCGCCCCAAACCCCCACTTGGAGGACACACCCCTTGTCCCCCTGAGCCCACATCTCTAGCGCCTTCCCCCCGAGTTCAGGTCCGCCCAGTCCCCTCGGGGGAAGTACAGACCTGGCACTGGTCAGGCACCAGAGCCGCCATCAGTACGGGCTGGCCACACATGCATCATCTCAGCTGACCCTCCCCGTTCCCCTGAGGAATGACTGTCCCCCCGCTTTGCAGAAGAGGAAGGCTGAGTCTTAGAAAAGGAAAGTAACTTGCTCCCAAGGTTATGCGATTCGTAACTGGCCTTAGCTGGGGTTCTAATGCATGCCTTCCAGCCCCAAGTTTTATATGATCTCACTTCATTACCTTGATACCAAGAGAAATGCCATTGCATCAATTCATTCGGTGAACACTCAGCGCCTGCTTAGCCCCTCCTTCTGTCCAGCCCCTCCTTTCCACTGTGGCCGGTTTGGGTCAGACTGAGTATTCTTACACGATGAGGTATTGGGGGGGGGGGGGGGGGGGTTGGCAGAAGAGGGGAGGCTGGGGTTATAATTCCCACTTAGTGGATGAAGGTCACTGAGCGATGGAGTGGTCAAACTCCTGCCAGATCACAAGCAAATAACTAGCAGAGCCGGGCCTCCCCAGCCTGGGCTCCGGACCCCGGGGGCACTGCCAACACACTGGCGTTTCCTCCGGATCCTGCCCAGGGCACGAAGGTAAACTTGGACCAGCGCCTTGGCAAGCCCCTGCCAACGTTTCTGTTCCCGGTGTTTGGCTAACTTGTTGGTTATTTCCCTCCTCACCCTGCAGACCTCCAGATCAGGGAGCAGGGATCCGCTGCGCCTCCTACCGGCCGGATCGGGAAGGTCACGGGCTCCCGCTCGCCTCCGCGCGGTCCCGCGTCCCCAGCCCGGCCAGGGTTGCCAGGCAACGGGTAAACTCCGCGCTGGGAGCCGTTTGAGAGGCGCAGGAGCGGGCACCGCGGCTGGGGCGCTTCCCGGGGGCAGCAGGAGCGGGCCCAGGGTAAGGGCTGGCGGGGAGGAGGTCGGCGGGGAGACAAGTGGAGAGGGAAGGCGGGAGGCACGCCCCCACCCAAAATAATAATCTCCGATAGGGCGAGCAACTCCTGGGATGGGGGTGGGGGGGCGTCCCCCTGGGGTGGCTCTGCCCAGTGGTGGTGCCAGGAATAGCGCTCTTAGGGAGCCCACTCGGTTGGTCCTCGCTGCCCTCACTACCTCCGAGTCACAGGGCCCTGCAAGGTCTGAACACCTTGCCCCCTGTGCCCTCCGCTCCCAGTCCGCTGGCCCTGACGCCCTCTGTCTGCTGGCGGGGTGGGTAGCGGGGGAACCAGAGGGTTTGCAGCGGAATGGAGCGGAAGCACCGCCGGGGTTGGGAATGGAGCGCAAACACCGCCGGGGCTGCGGTGGCCGGAGGACGGGCAGGCGGGGCGGAGAGCTTGCTGATGAGAATGGAGGGGAGGGAGCGTACAGTGACGGGGCACCTGCTGGGTGTGTGTGTGTGGGGGGGGGGGGGGCGGTAAGTGCACCATTTCTGCTCTTCCCCTTCAGAGCCGGGTCCTGTCTGTCTGTTTGTCTGTCTGGACTTAAGTACCGTGACCTTCGACCAGGTGCTTAACCTCTCCCGGCATCAGCTTCTTGGCCTGTAGAATGAGAATTGTGGTAGCTGTTTTGGGGGCGCTGGTGGGGGTTCGCAGCGCCTGGGACCCAGTCGGTCTTGGCAGATTTGGGCTCCAAGCCCTTTATCAGGCTTGTGATTTGCAAGGACGTCCTTCACGTCTGTGCCTAGTCTTCGTGTTGTCGGAAGTGCAAAGGTTTTCATTCCTAATGAAGTCCAAGTTATTGTGTTTTTCTTTTATGGGCTGTGCTTTTGATGCCATATTTAGGAAATCTTATCCAAAACAAGCCTATCTTGATCAGGGTCAGGATGGTTTCGCTCCGTGTCCTCCCCCTGTGGTGATGCGGTGTTTGCTCTCTCACTTATGCCCCTGACCCCTTTTGAGCTCATTGTTGAGTGTGGTATGAGGTCAGGGTTTGTAATCATTCTTTGCAGGTCAGGGCCCAGTTACCCAAGCTCCATTTTCGTGCTCTGATAGCTTATGAGATGCGTTGGTAATTTTACCAAAAATCAGTTGACCATAAATACAAAGGTTTTTATTTCTGAATTCTCGATTTCACTCCATCTATCCTATCTAATAAAAGAGTAATATGCAAATTAACCATCACCCCGCTATACCCACAAGCCACACCTACCAGCCATGCCTACCAGCCCATCAGAGCGAATATGCAAATTAACCCCAACCAAGATGGCTGCGGCCGCAGAGAGCAGGAGGGAGGCTTGGGTTTCCCCGGCAATGGAGGAAGCCAAGCTTTCCACACACTCTGGCGGGCCCAGGTCTCCTCCACTCAAGGGTACAAAGTTTCAATTATAGAAGGTAAATAAATTCCGACAGAAATGGACAAATCCCTTGAACCCCTGCCCTCCACCAGATGGGGAGCCTGGAGCCGGGCCCAGTGAGGCCTAGGGGGACAGGAAGTGGCCAGGCGGGGTCCCTCTCACCAAACACCGCCCTCCCACTCCTGCAGCTGCTGGCACCATGGAGATCGTGTACGTGTACGTCAAGAAGCGCAGCGAGTTCGGCAAGCAATGCAACTTCTCGGACCGCCTGGCGGAGCTGCACATCGACATCCCGCCCAACCCCGAGCTGGCGGAGCAGTTCATGGCGCGGAACCCCGTGGACACGGGCATCCAGTGCTCCACCAGCATGTCGGAGCATGAGGTGGGGGTCTGGTCCAGGTCACTCCATCCACCTGGAGGCCGGGTAGCAGGGCCCAGGGCGGATGCCAGAGGGCGAGGGCAGGATGGCACCTGGGCAAGTGCCCTACCAGGAATCGAACCAGTGATCTCTTGCTTCTTGGGTCCAAACCCATTCATTGAGCCACACCTGCTGGATGCACTATTGTTTTTAATTTTTGAATCAATTACAGATGTCCCCCATGTTCCTGCTCCCCGCTCCCCCTTTGCCTCCCTCTGCTCTGCCCCCTTCCTGTGGGCCCTTACTGGTGCAACTCAGAAGGGGATTTTCCTTGGCTTCTGGCATCAGCTGCAAAGATGGGGTACTTCCACCCAGGGCCACTTCCACACACGGCTGCCTGTGACCCCCTGCGGGTCACTGACCGCCTTCCCGGTGCCCGAAAAGCGTGTGGCTTTGGCCAGGCACCCCCTCGGTCCATGGGGCTTGGGACCCCGGCGCGCGGAAGTGGCTGATGCTCACACCAGGGCTGGGGTTTCTCCCCTGGGGCTCTCTCTCCAGGCCAACACAGAGCGATTCGAGATGGAGACCCGGGGCGTCAACCACGTGGAGGGGGGTTGGCCCAAGGACGTGAACCCCCTGGAGCTGGAGCAGACCATCCGCTTCCGGAAGAAGGTGGAGAAAGACGAGAACTACATCAACACCATCATGCAGCTGGGCTTGGTAAGGCTTCCTTTCG